CCAATCAGCCTTAGGATCTTTGGAAATCTCCCCATTTCAGATTTGAATCCAAGAGTCTTCCAGCTGAGCTCTAACTACTCTGGTACTCCAAGAAGGCTGAACTGACACTGTTCCCAAAAATGCATTGGCTCCACTAATCTCGGGTCTGAAATCAAACTGGCTAAGAGTAAGAAGATCTCTATACAATGAACACCTCAAAGCCGCAACCCGATGTCGACGTTTCCTACTCAAAGCATCTGCTACGACGTTCGCCTTCCCGGGATGATACTGAATCGCGAACTCGTAGTCCTTGATAAACTCAATCCATCTCCTCTGTCTCTGGTTGAGTTCCTTCTGAGAGAAAAGATACTTCAGACTCTGGTGATCTGTGAACAACTTAAACTGCACTCCATACAAGTAGTGCCTCCACGACTTCAATGCAAATACCACTGCTGTTAACTCCAAATCATGAGTAGGATAGTTCTGCTCATGCACCCTCAACTGTCATGATATATACACTACTACTCTCTGAGTCTGCATCAATACACCTCCTAAACCTGCTAACGATGCATCTGTGTAGACGACGAATGTCCTGTCACTACTCGGAATAGTCAAAACCGGTGCTGAAGTCAACTTAGTCTTCAAGATATCAAAGGCCTTCTAGAACTCTATACTCCAAATGAACTGTACACCCTTCTTCGTAAGGCGTGTAAGTGGCATCGAAATCTTTAAGAAGTCCTAGATGAACTTCCTGTAATAGCCGGCTAAGCCCAAGAAGCTACGAATCTATGTCACCGTCTTCGGCGGTTCCCAGTCAAGAACTGCTGTCACCTTAGCCGGGTCCACTACTACGCCCTCTCTACTAATGACGTGACCAAGAAATCTGACTTCTGAAAGACAAAATTCACACTTGCTGAACTTGGCATATAACTGATGCTCCTACAGAGTCCTCAAAGCTAATCGTATGTGCTCCTCATGGTCTGCCTCCGATCTTGAACAAATGAGGATGTCGTCAATAAAAACAATCCCGAACTGATCTAAGAAGGGACATAAAACCCGGTTCATCAAGTCCATGAATACCATGGGTGCATTGGTCAGTCTGAATGGCATGACCATAAACTTGAAAGATCCATATCGAGTAAGAAAGGCGGTCTTGGGAATATCCATCTCCCGAACCCGCAACTGATGATAGCCAGAACGAAGATCAATCTTTGAGAAGAACTACGCTCCCTGCAGCTGGTCAAACAAGTCATCAATCCTAGGCAATGGGTACCTATTCCGGATAGTGATCTTGTTCAACTCCCTATAATCAATGCACAATCTCATACTACTATCATTCTTCTTCACGAAGAGGACCGGTGCGCCCCACGGAGAATGACTCCGATGAATAAAAACCTGAGCTAATAACTCGTCCAACTGGGTCTGAAGCTCCCTCATCTTAGCTGGTGCCATGCGATAGGGTGCGTGGGATATCGGGGCTGTGCCTGGCTACAACTCAATACAGAACTCAACCTCTCTCACAGGAGGTAATCCAGGTATGTCCTGAAAGACATCCTAATACTCTGAGACAACTCTAGTCTCCAATAAATTAACACCCTGATCCCGTCGCATCACCTCCTCGATGTACGCCAGAAATGACTCCACAAAACGGTTGTCCTGAGAGGTTACCACAATCATCTTGGACCCATCAGACGCCCACAAATTGACTGTCTTCGCAAAGTAGTCAATACTAACATGGTAGGAAGACAACCAATCCATACCAAGGATGTCATCGAACTCGGACATATGCAATACTATCAAATCAACCACGAACTCCGACTCATCTAGACTGATAGTACACCTCCTACAAACGCTCTCCAGAAGCGATATCTCACCTAAAGGGGTGGAAACTGATAAAGAGGTGTCTAATGGCTATGCTACGAGCTGGAGTCTAGACATAAAATCATGCGAAATGAAGGAATGCGAAGCTCCCGAATCGAAGAGAATACGGGCGGGAAAATAATTCACAAGAAACGTACCCTCCACTACTGCTCCGCTAGCTCCATGATCACGCGGTACTACCGCATATACCCTGCCTATGGCTGGAGACTGCTCTGCTACTAGTGCTAGAGAATACGACACTATCTACCCCTGAGAAACCTCCTAAACTACACGAATCTTCCCTGGCGGTGCCTCAAGTCTCGGCTGCTGGTCCTGAACTCTGCCCAGCTGTTGCTGCTGCTGCTGGTTCAGGCCCTTGCCCTGCTGAGCTCCTGTTGGTGCGCTACGACACTCCGATGCCTTGTGCCCGACCTTACGGCAGTTATAGCAAACTCCCTAAAACTTACGCTGCTGATGCGCTCTCTGATCATGCTGGGGTCCCTTCTTATGAGGACCTTGCTGTTGCTGCTGGGATCCAGAAAAAGGCCTCTTGTTCTTCCCCTTATCCCCGGTCTGTCCTGCCTTAGTCTTCCCTTCCTTATCCTTCTGAAACATGGCCGTCTCAATCTCCTGAGAAGTGGCGGCCTCAGCTACCTCCCGAACTGAGAAGAACTTCCTCGAGACGAGGATCTCCTGAGAAGTGGCGGCCTCAGCTACCTCCCGAACTGAGAAGAACTTCCTCGAGACGAGGTAACGATAGAGATTAGGGCGAAGTTTTGCTAGGAACATCTGAGCCTATCAGTATCCTATCTGCCACATGCCCGTGAAGTGCAGCAACTCCATGAATCTACTCTCAAAATCTGCCACTGACATGTCCCCCTGAGTCAACCGGGACAACTCGAACACCTTCCCAGTCTATGCGGCAGAAGAAATATACTGTCCATCAAAGAAGTAGACGAAGTCCTCCCATGTGAGGGTCATCCGATGCTCTGGAGTGAACTGAAGTCGGTACCATCTCCCGACATCTCCCTTCAGACTATAGGATGCCAACCTCTGCTTCTGCACTGAATCCATATTAAGTATGTCGAGGGTGTTACTCACATCCTCCTTCTACTTGTGGGCTACAAGAGGGTCTGCTGACCCCTGGAACTCTGGTGCTCTCATCTTCTGATACCTCTCAACCATACAGAGCCAAGCCTCCTGCTCTGTGGCTCTGTTTGGGACTGCTGGAGGAATAACTGCAGGTACGGCCTCTGGTGGTCTCTCACTGATAGGGACTGCTGGTATCCCCTACGGCTGATCTGCTGGTGGTGATGGTGTCGGTGGGGTGATATGACTCGCCATAAGCTCCTCAATTGCTGCCATCCTAGTGTTTGTTGGAAATTTGCAGTAAAAAGACAATGAAAGAAAAATTGACTTGTATTCCTCTCAAAATCAATTACAATTTGGATTCTGATTACAAAAGAGAGGAGAATGAATTTGATTCTCCCCTTTGTTTAAAACCGGGTTCTTCTTGGTAGCGATGGAGTACCTCCTTCGATTGCTTGTGTCGAACTTGCTCTCTGTTGACGATCCGACCGTCTTGATTCACTGGAACGATTGACTTGTTTGATGAATTCGTTTTAGAACTCTTAACAAGTTTAATAAACTCAGAGCGAGTTGAAAACTCTGAAAAGAGTTGTTGAGAACCGAATAACTGGTTTGATGTAATTACCTTGCGTTGCAAGCTTAATTACGAACTCTTAAATGAGTTTCAGAACTCAGAGTGAGTTGAAACTCTGTAACGAAGTTGTTAGAACCGAAGATTCGGTTAATAGCCAAGTTGATTCCGTTGATAAAGGGATCTCCCCAGATTTGATCTGCCAACTACTGAGTAGTTTGTTGATCTTCAGAGAGATCTCCTCCTCCGTGCAGTTTAGCTGCTGAGATTTACTAACCTTAAGCGGTTTTGATGCTAGCACACGTCAACCCTCTACTCAACTGAGTAAATTAGTTATTTATAGGGGGATTAGGGTTGTAACAAACCCCTAAATCCGCTCCTAAGTGGGTGAAAATCCCTTAGAACGTGGGATAATGGTTTTGAGGCCGTTCGGCTTGTGTTTGAACAAGTCAAAACGCCCCAGTTGGCGTTCTGGGCTTTAACTCTGTTAGAGATTTAGGACGCACAGGCCGCTCATGTGTTGAGTTCTCAACTCTGCGTCCTGGATTTGGGACGCAGTGTTGAGTGTTTGCCGAAGAACGCACAGTTCGTGTGTTTTGTGTTTTAACTTTGTGTTGCAGAGTTGGACGTCTGTTGGAGAACGCACAGTTCGTCTGCGTTTTGAACTTGGGAAACGCAGATGTGGACCTTGCATTTTGAATTTGAGAAACGCAGAAGTGAGTTCTGCGTTTGAGAGAGGTTGTTGACTTGTAACCTCGTCCATTATAACACTGCAAAGGCTACCGCTTATTGATCTTTGCCTGTTATAGGATATGAGAGTCGTCAGATTGTAACTCTCACTGTTGATTGTGAAGGTAACTGAATAGAGTTTTCATCAGCTATCAGAAGCGTCGTTGAATTGTAACTCTTCTCGATCTGTGTGAAAAGTCCTCTATTTGCAACCTTCATTTGTCGGCACGAAAGCTATTTGATTGTAGCTTTCATTGTTGAAGCTTGACGGGAATCAATCATCCATAGTGATTTTTAGACGAATATTTGCCCACAGCTCTCTACCAAGCAACTCACCAACTAAGTCCAACCTTTTATTTCTGAAATTATTACACTGCTCATCAGCATCTCTAATAGTTGCTAATATAATATTAGTCATGTTGTTGTCGCAGCCATCAAGATCAATCATCTCGGAGATGAGGTCGTATTTGTAGTGATTGTAGAGTTGCGGATGCAGTGATTATAAAGTCGTCTGATTGTAACTTCCATTGTCGGGGTTTAATAGGGATTAGCTATCCATTGTAATTTTTAGACAGCCTACAGAACCCCCTCCAAAGTTTTTGAAAGTTCACGGTTGACTGGGACGAATTTTCGGAATACTTTGGATCCCAAAAATTTAGTTGATTGTTCACTTCGTCAGATTTGAGAATATTGCGAACCTGGTTGTTGGAATGTCGAAGTCCTGCTTCCTCGAACCAAACAAGATAGCTTTTGAGTCTTGATAACAACGAACTTAGTCAAACAAACTAAAGCCCAAGTCATCGTCTGATTCGCCGACAGGCTCGTCCTTTTTCCCTTTTTCCTCAAAGGCAAGAACAGTAGCGTTCTCAATAGATACAACAGAGATAACAACAACAACAAGGACGTTCTTGTAGGCATTGACGAACATGTGAAGCGCAGCTACAAGAGTTGGGTAAGAGAGGGTGAAGGATAGCGAAGCAACCATAGAAACACCATCTGCAAACTTGTCAGCGAGGTTGTCTTTCGTGAGATCGAGTAATTCTGGGCTTAAGACAGATCCATTGTCATAGACAGGGAGAATCGCAAGCCCACATGGGAGGGGCTTTATCCTAACTGTGGTTAGGAGGACAACTTCAGAAGATTCTTACTCTATTTCTTTTCTTGATCAGCTCAACTCACTCTTTGTTGGAATGTTAAGCCACTTAGAAGAATGGTTTGCGCGCTGGGTCGAATCGGCTTTTGTGTTGCTGATTATAATCTGCCTGTACCCATCCAATAGGCTCCACAGTGGAGTTGTCTGTTTCTTCTCGGCCTTAGTCACTTTGACAGCTGACATCAGACCCCCTCTATTTATTTGAACATATGTTTTGGCTTTGAGCATCGAAGAATTCGTTTGGTTGAGTTAGCACGCACAGGTAGATTTCCTGTGTCATAGAATGGAAACGCAGAGTTGAATCCTGCATTCAGAAGTTCAACCAATGCAGACGCACAGGTAGATTTCTTTGTGCTAAAACATTAAAACGCAGGGTTGAACTCTGCATTCGGAAGTTCAAGCAACGCTGACGCACAGGTAGATTTCTTTGTGATAAAACATTAAAACGCAAGGTTGAACTCTGCGTTCGGAAGTTCAAGCAATGCTGACGCACAGGCCACGTTCGGTGGGATTCTGGGCCTAGAATCTCGCCCCGATTTGACAGCTCATAGCTGTCTATAAATAGACCACTAAGGGTCAAATCAAAAGTCATCTGACTTTTTGCCTCCTCTTTTTTGAAAGATTTTTAACGAAGACTCTTCATTTTTTTACTCCGGCGAACCATGTTCATCCTCTCCGATCTTCATCTTCCATGGGTCCGAAAAAGAAGACCGTTACTTGTCCAAGATCGACCGCTATCGCCCACAGGCTTCCCTCGTCGGTGGTAAGTACCGAACTCCACGGCCACCAAACTTGCTTCGGCGAGATCTCTGAAAACCCTAGATGGGTTCTTGTGAACGAGGAAGACGACTCGTTTTGATTCTGTAACACAGAGTTGGGACTCTGCGTTTTGAATTTGAAACGTTTAGGCTTGACCTCTGCGTTAACAAATTTTTAACGCCAGATCTGAACTGTGCGTTTGGAAATTTAACACAGAGTTCGACCTCTGCGTTGATAAACTTTAACGCCAGGTCTTTACTGTGCGTTTGGAAATTTAACGCAGAGTTCAACCTCTGCGTTGATAAACTTTTAATGCCAGATCTGAACTGTGCGTTTGGACATTTAACGCAGAGTTCAACCTCTGCGTTGATAAACTTTTAACGCCAGATCTGAACTGTGCGTTTGGACATTTAACGCAGAGTTCGACCTCTGCGTTGATAAACTTTTAACGCCAGATCTGAACTGTGCGTTTGGAAGCTTAACGCAGAGTTCGACCTCTGCGTTAATAAGCTTTTGAACGCCATATTTGAGTTGTGTGCTTGAATGCTTTCTCTCTTTCTAGAGATTTAATTAAAGTTCCCTTTTGTTTTTATTTCCTCATTGACTAACTGAGTACTTTTCTCTTTTTGCAGTGCCCTACTCCCGCGAACCTCTTACTCTTCGTCACCATTTCGGGCATGAAGGCGGCATTGATTCTAATATGCAATTCAATCTGCGCCAGGAACTCCCAATTTTTTAGGATGCAGACAAGGATCGTATTACCCTGATTTCCAATCCAAGCCTAGCTGTACTCAGGATTTTGGTGACAGACGCCAAATTCGAAACCGACTCTCGTAAAAAACTTACCAAACCAGCATTTCTGTTTGGCGATCATGTCGTCATCAAAAAAGAAATCGTGACTGGCGGTCACTATAAGTGGTTAAGGCAAATAGGAGATTGCCGCTTCTTTCTCCCTGATATGCATAGGATGTTTCCTATCGCTTACTATCAGTGTGCTTCCGTCCCTCGACATATGGATTGGGACCTTGTCCGGGAGCAGGATGGAGTAGCTATCGGGGCTTTGACCTACACAGGCGTACACACTGTAGGTTACAATCGACAAGTGTCCGCTTTGGAGCCCTGCTTGTTCTCACGGGGGTATCCTTTAGGAGAAACAGCTAGTACGGCCAATACTTTTATGCGGAGATTTCTGGCTGCGAAAGGAGAGTTCCCCTCCTCAGTATTCAGGGCTCCTGGCTGGGTACACTCTACAGGATGGTGGACGCGAATGACGGACTTTGTAATAAAAGAGTTAGAGGGATCTTTAGCTCAGTCTGGACTTGGTTGTCCTGTAATAGCTACCAGACATGGTGTTGACTACAACTATTACAATTTTTTCGCTATTCTGGAGAACTATAACCCGGAGACGTGTACATTCTTCACACCAGTGGGGGAATTGGGGTTTGCCCTCCACGAAATGTATGACATTTCGGGTCTTCCTTTTGGAGATTTGGCCCTATGAGGAGTTCGTCCCAGGATCAAAGAGCTCAGGATTTTGAAGGAGAAGCATCCTAACGTCTATGACACTCTATAGGAGGTGATGTGTCATTTTCAAATCTGTGCTCAATTGACGGGGGCCCGAGGACGTGGTATAAAGCAGCTATCCTGGGCTGATTATCTATTCCAGAACTTATCTCACAAAACTGCTGATGTGTCTCGCCGGAACGCGAGTGCCCCTGAGACAATCCAAACTCTGATCAACGATGCTACTGCCCATTATGTCAACGAGGGATTGGAAGAGGACTTCCCTGCACAGACTGAGTTTGAAAGTTTCCATCACCAGGCTGCTGTGCCTATTTCTGACAGGGCCTTGTTGGCCGGCTTCCTCATGTTGTGGCTCAAGCGATGTGTCGTCCCTATGAGGCCCATAGATGCTGTGATGATAGAGGTAGTCTACCCGGCTGTCCTCTTAGCTTACGGGAGACCTGTGAACTTGCTTTCAGCTATGTCTTGCTGTTTGCAGCATGGTTTGAGGGAGTTGTGCCTCGAATTCATTCAAGTGAATGAGGTAGATTCTGAAGGAAAGAAGAGTCTGGTGACACCAAATCCTCGAGTTCCCCTGCCATATACCTATTTGATGGCATGGTACGTATCTTATTGCCCTCTTTTGATGAGTGCCCCATCTCCATCGGATGAGGGGTTCACCCCTTTTGTGTAGCGATTGGAAGAAGCTTCCTGGGAAGGCACGCATGTCGTGAGGGTCCGTCAGATTTTGTCGAGAGACCTCAATTATCAACTATTCCGCTGTTTCCCAGACTTTGAAGGCGGTGACTATGGGCAAATGTTCCAAGATACGGCTGGTCCAGATGGTTTTACCCGCTTAGATGGAGGGGTCTTCCACTGGCTCTTGAACATTAGACCAGGTTATCTCCTCTTTAGGCAAAATGACAAATGCATAATCGAGCCGTATCAGTCGTATCGGTTTGCTCGCCAGTTCGGGTACGACCAATTATATGTTGGGAATCCCCGGAGTCAGCTTGCAATTGTTGGTAACATATATGAAGGAGCTAGGGCCTGGTACTACTCTACTGCAGGCTGCACTGGAGCTACCTTTAGATTACTTCACAAGACGCCCAATTCTCTTTCATCTATAGCTTTTTGTATCTGGTATCATACAGCCTCCAAGATACCTGATTACAGGTTGAATTTGTCGGGGCTACGGGAAATTAGGAAGATGTACTCGTCCAGAAGAGGATCCCGGGTATCTCGTCTGAAGGGAATCAATGAGTTCTTATCCTTCAAAGATGAGACTGAAGGAGGAGGAGGAGAAGGAGATCTGGGGCCGGAGAGTGCTCCAATAGCGAGCCCTAAGGCTGCTGATACTTCAAGAACCAAGGTAGCTGGAAAGAGGGTTCTTACCGAAGCAGAAGAAGTTCAGTACGAGAAACGTACTCGTAGGAAACTGCTAGTAGACCCTCCTGCTGAGAAGTTGATGGAGGATGCTTTTAAATCTGCCGATGGAGGGGAAGAACAAGAACCAACTACTGCAAGTCATCACGATCCCACAGGTCCTCATTCTGGGGGTGCTACATTTTCTGAAGAATTCTCTTCTCAATGTCCTTTGGACCCGGAAGAGGGTGGAGATGAATCCCTGATTGGGAATATGGAAGCTCCTCCTGATATTTCACCATTTCCAGAGCTAGCTCCAGGTGCTACTCCTTCATCCGCAGGGGCACTGCCTGCAACGTCTCCATCTGAAGGGGTTAAACTGCCTACAGATGAACTGGTGACAAATGATCTTGCAAATGTTAATGAGAGTCAGTCTCCCACTTCCTCTGCACTATTGCCACACTCGGAGGCCATTATTCCTAGTCCAACGACTGGCCGAATGACTAAAGTGGATACGACTGCGAGTTCTCCGGGACCTTCAGCTGCAGACGATGACGAACCGTTAGACTATGGGAGCTCATCTCACAATGATGATGTTGATGAGAATGAAAGTGATGGTGACGATTCCGCTGGTTGGGCTGATCCGCCACCACCTTCTTCTGACAAGGCGTCCAGTTATCTTCCTTTTTACCCTACTGGTAGAAATTACACACTCTGATTTTTCTGGTGTTTCTTTCTTTTATACTGACTGCTCTTTTGTGTAGGTTCTCTAACTCGTGGGGTTGCTGATGCGTCATTGTCTCTCAACCCACAAGCAGCAGATATTCCTCCCTCTGAATCACTACCGGTGACAATAAGTTCTTTGCCAGAAGAACCTCTTTCGCTAACGATTCCCCTAAAATCTGCGGTGACGGAGAATGCGCCAGGCTCAGCCCCAACAGGAGCACTCATGGTCCTTCCTTCTAGTCCTTCACAATTGGACATCACGATGGCTTCTCCGGCTTCTTCTCGATCGTCACCCACTGTTCTTGCACCAGGGTCTATGATTTTAGGCTCCCCATCGACATCTCCGGTGAAGTCTCTAAGTCCAGTGGTCATCCCTTCCATTCTAAAAGTTCTTATACGACCATTGGAAGATATGATGAAGATAGCGATTGAGGAGATCAGTGCTGGACGAGCTTCATTCGATTTTTTTAAACCAATACTCATGAACTCTTTGAACGGCATTCGATATGTGGATGACGCTCGATTGTTCCAGCATTGCTCCGAAGGCATCTCTCGGTTGGAAAAAAGATCTGAGGGCTTTGGAAGAATTGCATCGAGCTGATCTTGCTACCCAGGCTGCGTTAGTCTTTGATAATCTTCAAGCTGAAGCGGCCCGCCAATACGAAACCTTTCAAGAAGCCATCACTGAAAGGGAGCTTGAAATTGCATCCTTACAGGGGCAATGCATTCAGAATCAACATGCTGTGGACGCTTCTGGTGCTGCTGCTGTGGCTGATCAATAAGGTACTGGGGAGCCTGCTGCGGCTCGGGTGGTGCCTGCTGTGGCTCGA